CCGAGACCCCTCTGCAAGGGGATCTCCAGTGGCCTACTAATGGGCTTTGGATCTCCACTCCGCACTCCCCCCATCATTCACTATGGTAAGATTAAGAACATTTTTTTTTCTAGGAAACATTTTGCCAAATTCAGCTTGGAATAACAGTATTCATATTTTCCTCTCATTTTACAGTTCTCTTTTATAGTTATATCCTTTTCAGTCCGAATCATTTTTACTACCTTTTGTTTTCAGCCTTCATCGTATTATGAAAAGTCTAATTTTCTTCTTAAAGTACCAGCTCTAATTGGTCATTTTTGTTATTTTTTTATTCATTATTTTCTGCATTTATTTCCCTTTTCCTTCCTTCTACTCTTTGGATTTATATATTTTTCCTTTAACTTCTTGTGTGGAATGCTTAATTAATTTTCAAGCTTTATTGTGTAATGTTTATTATACAAATTTTCATTTTCCTTTATTTGCAAATACTTCCTAAATTTCAATGAGCTCTTCATGTTTAAAAGTGTGTGGAAACACATTTTCTTGAAATCTTTTCTAGTTATGATTTTATGAATGCATTATGGTCAGAGGATATGGTCTGTGTTAATTTTATTTCTGTTAACTTGGAAGACTCCAGGTGTTACAAAGTATAATGTCTCTATAGGGTTTCCTTGTCTATAACTTTAGAGGAGCAGATTGCCAAGCCTGTTTCTTCTGTGGTGGCTCCTTATGGGCTAGAACTGCCAGCCCTTTGATTACCAACTATTTGTGCCAACCAGAAACCTTACAATACATATCCTTTAATATTTTTGGTGAATTGTTTTAGAGTATAAGTTCTGAAAATTGTTATACATAGACTTAAAAATATTATTCTTCAACGGAAGGTTCAGGGTTTGTTATATGAAAGTTACTGCCATCATACCATTGCTGAGGACAAAGAGGGTACATAAGCAAACGTGAAGAAAGCTGCTGGTGCCCGGCTATCAAAAGATATAGTATCTGGGGTCTTAAAGGCTTGAAGATAAACAAGTGGCCATCTAGCCTAGAAGCAACAAAGCCCACATGGAAGAAGCACACCAGCCTGTGTGATCACAAGGTGTCAATGGGATCAGGTATTAGGCATCAAAGAACAAAGCATATCATGTAAATGAGTGGGAGTGCAGATGGAGACCCAAAGCCAATATGTAGGCACCTGTACACCCCCTTACAGAAGGGTCGCAAGGAGGAGATGAGCCAATCATAGTGCAGTGTAACACCAATGAAACCTACAACTTCCCTCTAGTTCTTTAATGCTTCCTCCCCCCACTATCATGATCCCAATTCTACCTTACAAATCTGGCTAGACCAGAGCATGTACACTGGTACAGATAAGAACTGGAAACACAGGGAAACCAGGGCAGATAAACCCCTCAGGACCAATAATGCGAGTAGTGATACCATGAGGGGAAGGGAAAGGTGGGGGAGAAAGGGGAACTGATCACAATGATCTACATATAACCCCCTCCCTGGGGGACGGACAACAAAAAAGTGGGTGAAGGGATACATTGGACAGTGTGAGACATGAAAAAATAATAATTTATAAATTATCAAGGGTTTGTGAGGGAAAGAGGGGGAAAAAATGAGATGCTGATACCAAGGACTCAAGTAGGAAGATGAGGGCAACAAATTTACAAATGTGCTTGACACAATGGATGGATGCATAGATTGTGATAAGAGTTGTATCAGCTCCCAATAAAATGATTTTTTTAAAAGTTATTGCCATTTTACCTTCTAATGTTTATTAATATTTATTTGATTAACCAATCCATATGTAGATTAATAAACATCATAAACAAATTCATTTTATTTGGATCCACCGTCAATCACCAAGGAAGCAGCAGACAAAATATCAAATGTGTTGCACTGGGAAAATCAGCTGTAAAATTGCTCTTTATAGAGCAAAAATATATCACTTTGAGGGCTAAGGTGCTTAACCAGGGCTCCTGATTTAATGACAACAATCAATATTTTGGGGGTATTCCCAGAGCATAGGGGGAGGGGGGCAGGAGTGAGTGAAGAGCTTTCAATTGTTCTCTAATTTGAGGAAAATGGATACAGTAACTCATAAAATAGGTCTCTTGACTGCTGGTTCCATGGATATTAATTGTAGATCCAAGTAAAACATAATCCTTGACAGTATCAATCTTTTCTCCATTTTTCATAATATTGCTCATTGGTGCAGATGTGAGAATTTTTGTTTTATGTTGAGGTGTCATCCATACCGAAGGCTCTAATTTTAATCCACCACCATGGTGGTTCAAGTTCTCTTCATTTCCAGTAAGCAAAGTCGTGTCATACTCTCATCACCGATTGTTAGTCTTCCTTTAATCCTACTGCCTCATTCTTCACATAACCCAGTTCTTCGGATTATCTGTTCAGCTTAAGGTTTATATAAATATAGTGAAAGAATACAGCCCTGATACATGTTCCCTGATTTTAGATCAGAGTATCTCCTTTCTATTTGAACGAATGCCACTTGGTCTATGTACAGGTTCCACATGAGCAAAATGAAAATGTTCTGGAACTAGCACAGACTATTTGAATACCAATAAAAGATATCATTTATATATATAAAGTGACCCAAATACCTATTTTTTGTTCTTATGATTAACTAAATGGGCCATTAATATTAACCCTCCAAGAGTGGGCAGTACTTCCTCTTGATGTGGCCAAAAGGAGATTGCCTCTGTGTGTATCTATTATTCAAGCCCTCCCTTACCCTTAGCACCCTGTAGCCTAGCCTGGGCTCCAGTGTAGATATTCTGTTGGATGACTCTGGTAACTATAACGTGACATCATTGCAGGGAATCTATAATACTGTGCCAATCATTTTTTCATGTGCCCATAAATATACACACACACAAAAAGAGCCAATCATGCACGGCTCATAGTGTATTACAAATCCAACTCAACCAAAACCCATATGCCGAGAAAGACCAAAGGTACATGTGCTTCTGCATCAGCTCTGGTTATCTGATTTTTGATCGGTAGTTCTCATATGCCTTTCCAGTTCCAGCAAGCTTTGGTAAAACTTTTCAGCAGTGTTTTCATCTATGTCCATCTGGAAGAGAATCAAACATGGCAACAATTAGAAAAGAAAACCAAAAGGAACCACATTTGTACAACCTATACAAGAGAACTGAAACAAGGGGAGTGGGCAGCTAAAAGGCTGCAGGGGGGTCAGGTGGGACTGGTAAGAATCTCTGAGAACCTGAAGGCATTTTAACTCTTCTATAAACTCCAACCCCTCACCAGACCTACAGATGTATCTCTTAAAGAGCAAAACAGAGATCTAAGTGTTGTCTCTCCTAACTCTTATGTGTAGCTAACGACAGAAGATATCAAGCAACAGCGATGTAGGACACAGAAGGATGTAGGACACAATAAAGGACTTTTTGACATCCTAACTGCTACTTGCTCGGCATTGTTTTAGAGTTCCTGTGGGCTTTTTTACTAACACACCAAAACAAACAAACTTACTGACATCTAGTCAGCTCTGATTCATAGCAATCATGAAGAACATAGTAGAACTGTCCTTGTGGGTTTCAAAGACCTATAAATCTTTATATGAAAATAAAAAGCCTCATCTTTCTCCTGTAGAGAGGCTAGTGATTTTGAACAGCTCATCTTGTGGTTAACAACCCAAAATGTAACCCACTACACCATCAGGGTCCTCTGCAGGAGAAAGATAAGCTGCCTCCTTCTGCAAAGCTTTATAGCCTCAGAAACCCTATTGGGCAGTTCTACTCTGCTCTATAGGGTCATTATGAGTCAGAATTGATTGGACAACAGTAGGTTATGGGTCAAGCCCAGTATTAGCATACACTACTTCAATATCAATTAAAAGATACTTTCAAAATATTTTTAAATACTTTTAAAATAAGAGAAAAAGAATTCAAGTGGTCCAAACATACACATACATTTTTGTTCCTATGATTAGCTCCATGGCCAGAATTGTTCAAATTTGATCTTAACTGATATGTATGTAATATCATACTTTTAAAAAAAACTCATAGAACCAATTCTGCCCAATGCATAACCCACTACCAACCAGAGCTCCTTAAAACCAAACTTAAAAAAAAAACAAAAACCTGCTGCCAATCAAGTTGATGTCAACTCTTAAAGAACCTGTAGGACAGAGTACAACTGCCCTCCATGAGTTTCCATGGTTGCAACTCCTTACAGTAGTTGAAAGCCTTGTTTTCCTAAGACAGAGCAGCTGGTGGTATTGAACTTCTGACCTTGCAGACTGTAACCCTATGCAAAACCATTACACCAAAACCAAACTTTCAGGCACTATAAAACACACTGGTACAGAACCTAAACTTCAAAAACAGGCGCTTTCTTCAAGCAATATAAAGACAATATTAAGAAAACATTTGGGGAGTCACATTTGTACTCCTTCAATCTCCTCAGAATGTTTCTGTTGGTGGAGAAAGGTGCATCCTAGTTCTAACCCATCTGTTCACAAAGACAAAAGCTAATTCCTCCAAATAAATCTGAAGTTGGAGCATTTTGTTCAACGGACTAACATAAAACATTTATAAAATAATGTGGTTTAAATAACGAACTAAGGGAACTACATAGGAAATAAGCCTCTGGTGAACTCCCTTTATCTACAGTTGAGGGATGGAAGTTAAGTGGTTACTAAACAGAGTGCATTGAAGAGATAAGTACAGAAGAACAAATGTGTAAATCTGACTTGAACAATCAACACTGTCATTTGATCCCACCTCTGAGGCATGCTAGACCTGATCTGGCTCTCAACATTTTCTGCATATTTTTATTTTGTTTTTAAGGTGTATCTCAGAGGTGTTATGTCAATGGAGGTGAGGTCACCCTCATGAAGTGGTGCTATATGTTTTCCTGTATTTCGGTGTATGAAACCCAGGATTGATGAACCTATAGGGTCAGCAAGTAGAATAAGGGTTTCAGTGAGGTGGTGGTGGGGGGTACTATTGGGGGTGGGGATGGGTCCATGTCAAGGAGTCTAGGAAGAAAAAGAATGTTTGGAAACGGATTGTAGCAGCAATTGTACAATTCTGCTTGGCACGATTGAACTATGGAATGATGTATGTATTAACTCCCAATTAATAATTTAAAAAATAAAAATTAATAGTTTCTTCCCTTAGTAAAAACATCATTTTCTCTAGAGTAAGTTTAAACAAGCACGTTTAAACAATTTCTAAGAGCCTAAAACAAGTTTGCTAATTTAAAACAGAGTGTCCTAAACAGTATTCTTTGGGCAAGTTAAGGCTTTCTGCTACTGTAAAGATTTACAACCTCAGAAACTGAGAGGGCAGTTCTACTCTGTCCTCTAGGGTCGCTAAGAGTTGAAACTAAACAAGTCCGCGTATCCTATGTGTATACATATACTGAAAAATTAGAAAAATCAAGATTAAGCAATTCCACAGACTTCATAATTGTTCTAACTTCTCAACGCCTTTCTTGGGATAATGTGTGTTGCACATGTCTCTGAAACTGATGGCCCCTCAGATGCCCTGAGGGTTCTCAGGCTATCAATCTGTACAGAAGCAGAGAGCTCCATCTTCCTGTCACAGGCGGCCTCATGGGTTTGAACCTCTCTGCTCATTAGTGGCCAAGTGAGTACTCAACCCTGGTGCCACCTTGGAGTTTCTGAAATAGAGGATGGTAAGATGAAGCAGACCACCAAAATAAAAACAAAACAAAGATCCTTCACAACTGTACCAATATACAGTAGCATGAAAAAAGTGGGAGGGAAGTCAAGGATTTTTCACTTGCATTGATGATTAACGTCCATCAAAGGAGCAGTCAAGACTGAATGACATACTGCACTGGGCACATCTACTGCAAACGACCTCTTTAAAGTGTTAAAGAGCAAAGCTATCACTTTAAGATATTTGACCACAGCCGTAGTGTTTTCAATTGCCTTATATCCATGCAAAATCTGGACAATGTGTGAAGAAAAATGGAGGGGAAATGATGCATTTGAATTGCGGTAGGGGCAAAGAATACTGAATATGCCATGGTGTGTCAGAAGAACAAACAAATCTGTCTTGGGAAAAGTACAATCAGAATGCTCCTTAAAAGAGGGATGGACATGCCCTCTGGACACCTTATGAGGAAGAATCAGTCCCTGGAGAAGGACATCATGCTTGGTAGCAGGTCAGAGAGAAAGAAGGATGACACCGTGGGTGCAACAATGGGTTCAAACATAGGAACAATTGTGAGGCTGGTGCAGGCCCAGCAGTGCTTCCTTCTGTTGTTCACAGGACCACCGAGTCACAGCCACCTGCACGACATCGCCCAACAACAACAATGAGGCATTCTTCACACAGACCTGCTTGAGGAAGCGCTTTGCCAATCTTTGCAAGGAACTGGAATTTAGCAGGACATGTTTTGGAAAGCACTAGGAGGTACCAGAGATCACAGCCTATTATTTAACTTACCTGAGTTATCTATTAGCCCCAATTTACTCTCACAAATAAGCGAAGGAGTAAAAACTGGGACACTAAAGTCAACTTTATTCATAACAAAATACAACAAACCATTTCTTTTTTATTTTTTCTTTCTTTCTTTTAATTTTACATTAATGAATGGCAACAAATTATTGCAGAATCACCCTACTTTAGACATACTTCTGCAAATTCGCATTTGTTACTTCCTATTTCACTAGACAGTCATCTTGAACTTGAACAAAGATCCCTAGAGTACCAGTCATATACAGAAATGCAGACTTATCACCAGCATTGATAAAACCAGGCTCAGGGAGAGAACTCAGCCTGGGGACACATGCATGGTCTTAATATAGCGAATGGTTAGCCTGCCCTGGCTACCACAAAACCAGGACAGCGAGAATATTCGCAGACAACAAACCATTTCTTAAGGTTCAAAATAGTTTCTGTTTTCCTAGTATGTAACTGATTTCTTTTTAAAAGACTAGAAAAAACCCAAAAACCTAGTTTTGCTTTGTTTTTCCATACACTATCTTCTGTCCCTTCAGATCATCATCACTTCCTACAGGCTATTAAAGCTGATACAGCACAACTGATGCTGCAACATTCCAAGGGAAGTTAACTTCACACAGGAAGGCACCACATTTCATCCACCTTTTGACAATTTTTGAGCACCTAAAGTGTCCCTAGTGGCTGCTACCCATTCAAAACCACTAGCAACTCAAAACCACCAGCTCCGAGGGAGAAAGACAAGGCTTTCTACTTCTTAAAACAGTTCATCTGGGAAACCTGAGGAGGCAGCTCTACCTCTTCCCACAGAGTCACTATGCGTGAGTCAGAATCATCTCCAGAGTCTACAATAGATGAGTCACCAAATCAGAAAGGAGGATAGAATTAATCCTTATCCTCACAAAACTTATACAGTGAACCCTCGCCACTTCGCGCTTCGACTTCCGCGGCTTCACTCTTATCGCGGTTTTTCCGTCACAGCGCATGCTCTGTCATTACTGCCACTGATTGGCTCATACTGTACACGCTTCTGTCTGCATCGCTACGTGTCGGAGCTACGTATCAGATGCATTTTTGCTTTTGTACAGTGTACTGTAATTGTTTGCGATTTTTAAGAAATTTTATCTAAGCCCTATGATGGCTCCTAAACGAGCTGCTTCTTCTAAGCCTTCTGACAATAAAAATAAGCGCCAGAGGAAGATGCTCACCATCCAGGAAAAGGTAGAACTTTTGGATATGATCAAAGATGGCAAGAAAATCATGGAGGTTGCACGCCATTTCGACTTGAATGAGTCTTCCGTTCGCTCCATCCGTAAAGAGGAAAAAAACATCCGTGCTACGGCTACTTTCACTTTCAACAAGGAAGCAAAGCGCATCGTGATAAGTCGTAATAAGTTCATAGTAAAAGCAGAGTCTGTCCTAGCCGTTTGGATCAATGACAGGCACAAGAAAAACATTCCGTTGGATTCGATAGTCATCCGGGAGAAGGCAAGGCAGCTCTATCAGCGTTTTACAGCAGACAAACCTCAACCAGAATCCTCTTCTGCAATCCTCTATGCTCTAACTACGAAAATATTTGATTTACAAATAAGGAATCCTACTTCGCGGGATTTCATTTATCACAGTAGGGTCTAGAACCGATTAACTGCGATAAACGAGGGTTCACTGTATTCTCAGAGAACTGCCCAATGGTGAAGGCATGCTACACAGAGCAGCTACAGTCTATCGTTCCTGTGTAACAGAGGTGTGCATGTGGCTGGTCCACAGGGTCACAGAAGACTGAGGTACAGCTGAGATCTTTAGAAATCAACCTGTTCAAGAAGAAAAGGGAGGGCAGTTCAGCAGAGAAAACAAAGTGGACAAAGGCTCAGAGGCAGGATGGAGCCAAAAGAAACACGTGACCGGAGAATAAAACTCAGTGAAGTAAACAGAGAAGCTCAAGGACCAGTCAGGAAAGCAGGGAACCCACTCATCTGGCCATCAGCAAGCACTTTCAATGTGACAATATAAATAGATTTACCTTCTGGGGTACTATGTAATTGTGTCCCAAACCTGTAGTGGCACTCATATATTTGGTGAGAGGATCAAGAGACTCAGGTTTTTGGTGGAAAAGCCATACCTGGGGGGAAGAAAAGAGTTCACCAATGACTTTCTGTCCAAGACAAGTGAGGCTGGTAGAGATCTGCAACTAGAACTTTACAAAACACTCCAAAGAGTCCCAATTCCTCTCGGTTTGCACCGGCCCTTGTAGTGTCTTCATGAACCATGACAGTGAAGGAAGATGGAAGGCACGCTGCTTATTAGTACCCTTTGACAATTCACATCATATCCCAGGATCTCCTCTTTGCTCACAAGTTGAAGTTCCTGGCATAGAGCTTACTCAGAGCTGCTGCAAACTGATACAGTCTATTTTATTGATAAAAGCATCAATCGGTATAGCGTTCAATAGGTAAAATGGTAAACAGTAACTCCCCCCGCCCTTTCACCATCATCTAATAACACAGTCCTCCTTTCTGGAGGAAACTACTCTCAGTGGTATCTTGTGTTTTCTTCCAAATAATATTTATTCACTTAAAAACATTCGTTTTTCTTGTTCAAGTGGAAATCTATTCCACACATTCCATTTTTCACTTACACAATATGTCTTAGAGATCTCTCCATATGTATAGCTGCCAGGTTTTTTTAATTAAAGTGGCATATGGTATTCCACTCTATGGCTGTAGCAAGATTTATGGAACAAAATCTAAAAGCAACCCACTGACTCCACAGGTCAGAGTAGAACAGCTTCAAAGGTTTTCAGAGACTATAAACATTTAGGGAAGCAGACTGCCTCGTTCCTCTCCCTCAGAACATCTGCAGGGTTCTTGCCGGTTAGCAGCCCAATACTTAATCCATGGCACCACTAAGGTTTCTAGCATGTATGTGAACAGTCTCCCACTGATGGACCTATAGGCTGTGCCAGTTTTTGCTATTACAAACCAGGCTGCAAATAAATGATGACTATGCCCTTTTATACACATTTGAGCACATCTTTAACATAAACGAAAGAGATGGAATTTCTAGGTTAAGGCTATGAACACTGAATATTCTGGTTCATCTTGCAAAGTCATTGGCAGAGGCTGTATCCATTTACCCTTCTCCACCAATGCAGAAGAGCGTTCATTTCCCTACTGTTAGTCTGGGTAGACCAGAAAAACAAATGCATAGAGACACTCATGTGTATAGGAAAGAGCTCTCTATACAAGAACAACTGAATATTAAGAAAGCATCCCAGAGTCCAGATCAAGTACATGACTCCGATATTAGTCCGTATGTCCAACACCAATCTATAAAGTCCTCTTCACACTCATGAAACACATGAAATAATGCCAAATGCAGGAAGATCACAGGCCAGTGGGTTGGAAGTCTTGTGGATCCATTGGCATTGTAAGCATCTCAGCACTGGCAGGGGTCTCCACGCAGCTTTTCCACCTCCCAGGGCTCTGGTTGCATCAGGGTAGGTCCATGTGGATTCTCCTCAGGGATGTCTCACAGGGAGTGAGCAGAAAGAGAGTGGGTCTCCCACCTCCAAGGAGGAAAAACCGGAGTTCCCAGCATCCTCAAGAGAAGGTCCTGCCCACTACAAAGGCCTTATTGGCTATGACCCGATTGACAAACCAGAATCAACCCCTTCATTCTTAATCCTCTCAAGTCCCAAACTGACACCAAATTATGTAAATACCACATCTACTCATCAGAAGTACATTTTATCAGGCATTCTAATCTCTGCTAATCAGAGCTGGAGAAGAGTTTTTCACAGTAACTTTAATTTGCATTTCTCATGTTTTGAATGAAGGATCCCTGCTGGTGTTAACCCACTGCTGGTTAAGTCTTGGGCTGGCAACAGCAAAGTTAGTGGTTCGAACTCACCATTCACTCCTCAGGAGAAAGTTTTGCCTGCCCCACTCCTGTCTGTCTGTCCTCCAGCTGATGATGTAGCTTGCTTCTAGAGAAGTGCTTTCCCTATTGCATGTGGTGCTATGGTAGATATTAAATGTCCAACTTCACTCTTCATGCTTTGCACATAGCTTCTGTCCCATCTTGGTCTTAAAGAGGATCTTGACGATCCTCCGAACTCATTATGTTATTATCTTTCCTGTTTATACTGTTTCTGCACATGGTAAACCACTAAACCAACTCCATGTACGTACTTGTAAGGAAACTCTAGTACATACCAGGGCTTCCGCTCCATTGTATGGGGTCAAGGTGAAAGCGTTTGCGAAAAAGCGAAGCTGAAGGAAAAGGAAATAAGAATCATTCGACAGGCACTAGGAGCGTCTACGGTGGTTTAGAACACGGTCCCCCCAAATGTTACTCATTTAAATAGTAAAATGAATGCTCACCTTTCTCATGGCAAAACATTTTTTTAAGTATCAAAGAACAAAAAAAATCTTAAAAAAAAAGTAGTCGCACTTAATCCCCACTACCTCAAGTCAATCGTTTCTGAAATACAGGTCTGTGTCGTCCTGACCGTTTTTCTGTGCGTGTCATAAGGGGCCGTAAAAAAGAAACGCTAAAGACATAATATGTTCTGAATTCTCTGGGGGAAGGACATTTTATCCTCTAAAAGTAGTATTTTGCAACGTGTGCTTGAACAGTATTAGTTTTGCAAGTTGCTTATACACAAAATTAAACAAAACAAAAACGAATAAAGCCCAGTTCTATGGTCATACAAAAAACAATCATCCCCTTCTTGGAATCTTCTCACACATACTACCACCTTGAAGGCCCAAGCCATCCAGTTTAACACAGTTTAACATGGACCTCCCAACACTCCACGTTCACTGAAAGCTGCATGTGAACACAGAAACATGCCCTTAAGGAGAAAAGAATGCATGTATCCGTAGCTGAACTTCCAAGAGGCGGTGTGTGAAATTGAATATTAGGTGATCTGGACACTGTGCAAACAGATACTAAAATCTTAAAGACCTCTGGTAGTCTTTGCAACCGCTGCTGCTGCAGCCGCAATCTGCGGCCCCCCGAGGAACGGGAAGTACAGCAGCAGCAGAAGGGACGAAGGGAGAGGACAGCAGAAACACCTAGCCCTGCCCACCCACCCAAGAGCCCACACTCAAGAGCTGCGTCCTCTGACTCCCCGGCCTGCATCCTGTGCTGGGGTTGGGGTTCTTTAAAGCCATTCAGGGGAAACAGCAAGCAAAAGGAGAGCTAATTTCTCATAAAAAAGGACCAAAAAAACCTATGATACCAGAGACGTATGTTCATCCTGACAATGCCTGAACAGATGGTAAGCGATGCATACCTGCCCTTGGAAGGTGGTATAATGATAATATTGGGTATTTGAAAGCCACGAATAAAAACATAAAAAAAATCAATTCAGAGCCATCAAGTTAATTCTGACTTATAGTCAGTCACCTTATAGGACAGGGTAGAACTGATTCTGTGGGTTTCTGAGATTAACTATCTTTATAGGACTAGTCCTTATTCTTTTTTCTAAAGAACAGCTGGTGGTTTCAAACTGCTGACGTTGGGGTTATCAGTCCAACTCATAACAAACACACTATACCACAACTCAAGTGGGCTTCTGCCACTTTAGGTACAATTGCTTAAGTCCTTCCTCAACACTGTCTTACTTATTTTGTGCTGCTGTAACAGAAATACCATACATAATGTGTGGCCTTAATAAATGGTCTTATTTTCTCAGTCTGGGGGTTAGACTTCAGGAACCGACTCTAGTGGAAGGCTTTCTCTCGGGTCAGCTCTAGAGAAAGGTCCTTTTCTCTTTAGCCTCTACTCTTCAGTTCCTTGATGATCTTCATAGGCCATGGCATCTGTTTTCCCATCTCTGCTCTGTGTGCTTGTCTAATCTCTTCTACATCTCAAAAGAAGCTGACTCAAGACTTATCCTACACTAATCCAGTCTCGTCAACAAAGAAAGCCCATTCCCACCACCACCCACTGCCATCCAGTCAATTCGGACTCCCGGAGACCCTATGTAGGGCTTCTGAGGCTGTGTAGATCTTTAAGGGTAAAGACAGCCTCACCGTTCTCAAGCGGTGTATTTGAAGCTCAGACCCTGGGGTTAGCAGTCCACGCTTACCAGACAGTACCACCTGGGATCCTTAACTACAAGCACTGAGGTTAGGATTTACAGCACATATTTTTTTGAGACACAGTTCAATCAATAAATCCTTAAATGCATCTTTAAAAGAAATGTCCATTACTTACCAGCCATATGACTGGCAGCAGTAGTGTCCATATAAAGGGAGGTAGAATTCCATAAGTTAAATTGGTCAGCACTGTACCTGGGCATACCACACTAGAATACAGACCCTAGGAACACAGAAAGAAACAGCAATAAGATTCTAATTCAGTATGTACAGTGAACCCTCGTTTATCGCGGTTAATCAGTTCTAGACCCTGCCATGATAAATGAAATTTCACGAAGTAGGATTCCTTATTTGTAAATCAAATATTTTCATAGTTAGAGCATAGAGGACATGAATAAACACCCTTTAGTCACCATTACACTCGTATTACCCAATTTATTAAACGAAAAAGGGAAAGTATAGTAAAACATTTTGGACGTTACAATTATCATTTATTATTTATTATATTATTTATGGCATCTAGTTTACAGTATTAAGACTTGTCACGATGCGCTTTGCTTCCTTGTTGAAAGTGAAAGTAGCCGTAGCACGGATGTTTTTTTCCTCTTTACAGATGGAGCAAACGGAAGACTCATTCAAGTGGAAATGGCGTGCAACCTCCACGATTTTCTTGCCATCTTTGATCATATCCAAAAGTTTTGCCTTTTCCTGGATGGTGAGCATCTTCCTCTGGCGCTTATTTTTATTGTCAGAAGGCTTAGAAGAAGCAGCTCATTTAGGAGCCATCATAGGGCTTAGATAAAATTTCTTAAAAATCGCAAACAATTACAGTACACTGTACAAAAGCAAAAATGCATCTGATACGTAGCTCCGATACGTAGCGATGCAGACAGAAGCGTGTACAGTATGAGCCAATCAGTGGCAGTAATGACAGAGCATGCGCTGTTGCGCAAAAACCGCGATAGAGTGAAGCCGCGGAAGTCGAAGCGCGAAGTGGCGAGGGTTCACTGTATTGACTGATTCAGTCCTAATTATATGATAAAGGGGATATACCGCTGCCAGGCCATTGAATTGGTTCAGAATAAATATTGAAGGGTTTTCTGGGCAAACTATAATAATGTGTGAAGCATCAAAATAAAATGTAAAGAATACACTGATCCCCTGTACCAAAAAGACCTGGTCAGCATACAACTATTTCAAGAAGTAGCACATGATCAAAAACCAAAGGAAGAAGTTCAAGTTGCACTGAAGACATTAGCCAAAAACAAGGTTCTGTGAACTGACAAGGTAACAGCTAAAATATTTCAACAAGCTGATGGAGCATTGGAAGCACTTACTCATCTATGTCACGAAATTTGGAAGACAGCTAGCTGGCAAACTGACTGGAAGAGATCCATAATTTGTACCCATTCCAAAGAAAGGTGACCTAACAGATTGTGGAAATTATAGAATAGTATTAATATCCATTAGTAAGAAATAAAGCTATCTCACTCAAGTCTGTAAAGTCTCCGCACTTCTCATGAGAGGGAATCATCTGGTGGTCCTGAGTATTTATAGTTAAAATTCACCAGCCAGCCTCTATGAACCCTGACAAAATCCCCAGCAGTGTGAGGTGTCAAAAGGAACCCACTCACATTGTGTACTCCTCGCTGCTTCTCCCTTTACAAAAGTAAGAAGTGAAGTCAGGGGAGGAAATCATCCCCTAAGGAATTTTAGGAGCAAACAGCAACAACTAAATCTGTTTTTCTGAGACGATAAAATTCACAATCTCACATAAGTAAACTCCAAGAACTCTTATATGAAAATTGAAGCTAATATACTGATTTGACCCAATGAAAGGGTGTTTTCAAAGTACCAGAAAACAGTTCTAAGTTTTAAAATATCTACAAAGAAAAATCTCAGAATGCAGTTCACAATTGGATCAACACACTGAAGTAAGGCTATTAACAACAGTAGACAATAGACAAACACATACAGATGAAGTGCACATACAGACGCCTACAAATATATGTGCACATATGCACACACCCACACATCTGCAAAGAGCAGATGAGAAAACAGGCACACAGAGGTGAAATAATGTGGACAAGGTTACAAAGCTGGTGACCAAGCCAGTTCTAGAGACTATATTCTTGGCTTTTTCTTTTTATCAACCACTGTATGACTTCAAGAGCCAGACTGAAGAAATGAGTTACTGCTGATAAAGGTCTCTTTTAGTATTAAATAAAATTGGGCGGACGGAGGGTGAGGGAACCAGCCCCCACCCGCTGATTACTCCTACGAGTTCAGTAATACTACTTCTAGGTTCAGTAATGCACAATTGTACGGTTGAGATATATAAGCATTATATTAAAGTCATCAAGAGCATGAGAGATAATACAATAATACAGTCAGGCATGATACACAGCAACATTGCTCACCTCAGCCCAGCTTGGTGGTCCACGTGGAGAGGGGGAAGGGAAGGAGGGAAAGGGAACAAGGGAGAGGGGACTGAGCAGGGAGTGAGCAGCAAGGAGCTCAGGGTCAGGGTCAGAGTCAGAGAGTCAGAGAGTCAGAGAGTCAGAGAGAGAAGTCTTGCTGACTCACACCTATATACCTTTTGGGGGCAATCCAGCCCACTAATTACAGGTAAAGACACGTCACAGGAAGGGGCTGCACTATAGGTTACACACCAATGAGAGGGTGGTCTCTGGGTCTCCATAGGAACATTATCAGTAGGGTGTAAACCCCACCTAGAGGAACCAAGCTAATGGTCCCAAAGCTTCAGAGATAAGTAGGCCATTGTCCCCAGCAGCAGGGAGCAGGCCCAGCCCTGCTGTGGGATGAGACAGCAGTCTGGCAGCAAGTGTCTGACTTCTCCCCACAGTCTCTATTACAAAATAAACAGGGGTCTAGACCAGTATTTCCCAAGAGTTAAGATACAGGGGGCACGGAACGATCTAGAGAAGCTATAAGCAGACACCTGCATTTTATCCTGGATTGGAAGCTATAGTACAAAAGTTTTAATTGCCAAGAGGGCAATGATTAATTTTTTTTTCCTTTTCTTTTTCTGTAAAGGAGGCAGTAGGGCAATTAAAGTTTGGGAAACTATGGTCTAGAGTCTTGACCGTTACCTAAGAACCCTGGTGATATGGGGCATTAAGCTTCTGACTGATAACTGGAAGAGAGAGCCGTTGGTGACTCAGGCCACCAGTCAGTGAGGGGGAGAAAGATGAGCTTCCCGGGTTCTGGAAACATTCAGAGCCTCAGAAGCCCCACAGAGCTGCTCGTCTCTGTTCTACAGCAGCTCTGTGAGTCAGAATGAACTCCACAGCAGAGAGTTTGGTTTTTAATCAATGAAGCTCCTTTGAGGGGAGGGAAACTTTCTTGGTCATTCTTTATTTCTCCTATCTCTTAAGACCCTATTCTTGGCCCTGAAAATGCTTAATGGAGTGACTCTTCAAAACAGCCCACTACTCGCATCACATAATTCATCAAAACAAACAAAGACTAGAGATTTTCAGGTAATATTTTACACCTGGGTCACAGACACATGAAAAAAGGCATTGAGTTACAGAACAGAGAGGCTACGAGGAGTCCGCTTCAATGACAATGGGCACCTTCTCCAAAGAAACATCCTTTGAACCCATGGTCCTCACAGAGGCAGAGCTGTGGCGTCTCACCAAAAACTATGACTGTCCTGAGGCTTTAGACCAACAACTATCCGATAACATCTGATATGATATACACTGGGAGGCCCTATAAAGTCAGACAAACGAGCTCAACTCTGAACTCTACCACTTACTATGTGACCACATTACCTCACTTCTCTCAACTTTACAGTCTCTATCTGAAAATGGGGGTACTTGGGACTACTACACTGTACCAGGGGAGGGAATAATGATACACAGCACTTGAAAGGTGACACACAACGAGATAGTACCTATTGGTGTTACTTTTAGTATCACACTGTTACATTAGTCATAAATCCTGAGGAGTTACACTAGTGAAGGAACCACCATATCTAAAAGGTATGTATTACCTAATACGTACCTACTACTTAAGAGCTGGTAATTCAGGCCCTAAATTTTCATATGAATCATATGTCCCTCTTATTTATGTTTTATCTAAGCCTCAATGCAATCTTGCTCAAGAAAAACACTGCACATTCTAAAGTAAAATGGTTATTAGGCCAGCCACCTTAGTAGAGAGTCATCATGTCATAACATTTCTGGCAGGACCATATATTCCTGCCCCGAGGCCTCTGTCCGCTTGTCCACCCGAGCTGCCCTCAGGAAAGCCGTGCAGGTGTAGGTGGGTGTCTTCATGCACACAGTAGGAAGATGTGGTAGTTACACAATCTGCTGTCAACTCAAGTCTAAAGAGGAATTTATGGACTGGTGTTGGCATATGGGTAATATTGGACTTAGAGACTTGATCTGGTCTGGGTTGGGTTGTTTTCTTAATGTACAATTGCTCTTTGCTATAAAGTTCTCTCTTCACACGAGTGTCTATGAATTTGCTTCTCTAGTCAACCCAGACCAACACAGAAGAGAACCATGGAGAAGCAGCCCAGCCTACTAGGGCCCTTACATTGCTACACAGCACTGGATGCTTCTGATGGGATCACTGGCTGCGCAAAAGCAGGGAGAATCCCATCCCTCACTGAACATCTCTTCAGGGGGTTAGCAGGTCTGCGTGCCTATCAGCTCTCTCAGGATCCCAGGCACAGTTGAGTTTTCCTAGCTACATCTGAGACACTGGCGGGCATTACGGGAATGGGACTGTCCAACTCCGGGAAATTTTATGCCTGCAGACTTAACTGCAGGTGCCAGTTTGCTGATGGTTGCCAAAGTTGGAATGAGTATGATCACAGCACTGAACTTTGCAGGGCAAAGAAAACTCGTCATTATTATTACAGCCCAACTGAGGTGATCATACACCATCAAAAAGTCAGACCAAGCTCACTGCCATCGAGTCAATGTCCACTCATAGTGACTGGACAGCAGTGGTTCTCAACCTTCCTCCTGCCGCGACCCTTTCATTCAGTCCCTCGTGTGGTGGTGAGCCCCAACCAGCAAATTATTTTCGTTGCAACTTCTTAACTGTAATTTTGCTACTGTTATGAATCAGGCGACCGGTGAAAGGGTCGTTCAACCCCAAAGGAGCCGTGACCCACAGGTTGAGAACCGCTGCTCTCTAGGACAGAGTAGAACTGTCCCTGTGAGTTTCTGGGACTAACTCAACGGGAGCAGAAAGCCCCGTCTTTCTCCTGGGGAAGCGGCTGGTGGTTTTGAATTGCTGACCTTGTGGATCACAGACTAACGTTATGCCAAGGTTCCAATTATGTACCATAAAAACTTATAATTAAAACCTCAGACAATGTGATTCTTGAACATTGCTGTAATCTCTTTCTGTAATGATATGTACATTCTCATTGGGCAAAATGTTATAGTCAACACTTGAGGATCCTGTAACTCTATGGCCCTACTCAGTGGAAAAGTTAGAAGAAAATATCTTATGAGATTGAAGATAGTCATCTTTTTCTCACCTTAGACCACAGACTTAACTTGAAATTATGTTACATGAAATGGAAATAAAGTTATACTCTTAAAAAAAAAACAACAAAGAAAGAAAAGAAATCACTGCCCTAACATTTGCATATCACAGAGACAGGCCTCACCTGCTGGTTGAATTTCCTATTCAGAGCCAAGCTCAAGAGGTCAGTGGCATATTTGGAAGAGCTATACGGTTCCTGGCCATTGCTGTGCTGGTAGTCCTCAAGGCTGAAGTTGGATTCCTTTGCATTACGAGATGATGTCCAAATCAGCTGAGATGGGTGGTCACTGTGAAACATAAGAGGTTCCAGTTCTCGGAACTTTAGAGGGGATAAAAGAAACAAAAATGTCATCAATATCTACTGGGAGAGTACAGAAAACCAATTTTGAACAAGCAAATACTGCATGGTTTAAAAACAAGAGAAGTGTGTGTCAAGTTTATATCCATTCGCCATCCTTATTCAAACTATATGATGAGCAAATAATATGAGAAATGGGTCTATATATGCAGAAGAACTCAACATAATGGGAGGAAGACTCGTTAACAACCTGCAATATGCAGATGATACACCTGCTTGCTAAAAACCAAGGGGACTTGACGTACTTACTGCTGACGATCAGACTACAGCTGAAGGCCATAGTCAATATAAAAAGAAAAGCAAAAATTCTCACAACTGGACCAACAGTCATCATAATAAATATAGGAAATACTGACATAGTCAAAAATTTCATTTTACACGCATCTACAATCAACTCTTAGGGAAGTAGCAGTCCAGAAATTAAATGATGTATTTGCATCAGGAAAATCTGCTGCACAAAACTTCTTTGAAGTGTGAAAGAGCAAAGATAGGATTTCAAGGACTAAAGTGTATCTGACCCAAGCCAGTTTTTCAATCACTTCATACTTGTGTGAAGGCCAGATAATATGGCAGACTGCAGAAAGATTGGCGTATTTGAACTACGAATTTGGGAAAGAATATTAAAAGTGTCATGGCCTGCCAGAACAGCAAACAGATCGGCCCGGGAGGAAGTGCGGCCAGAATGCTCCTTCGAAGTCAGAACAGAATGGAGAGAGTTTGTCTCATATACTTTGGACATTTGTTTGGTTTTTTTTGGGGGGGGGACAAAAAGGAATCCAGCAGCTGATATCAGGAGAGACCAGTCCCTGAAGAAGACTATTAGGCTTGGTAAAGTAGAGAATTAGCATAAAGAGAATGGTCTCCATGAGAAGGATTGACACAATGGTTGCAACAAGAGGCTCAAATATATAAAACATTGAGAGGATGGGACAGGACCTAGCCATGTTTTTTCTGTGGAACATACGGTTGCTATGAGTAGAAACCCATTCAAAAGCATTTAAGAACAACATCTATGAATATTGGAATTGGACACAAAATAAATGGATAGAAGATGGTGGGAGTCAAGGCCCTCAATGCTGGAGTGTGTAGTATGGTGTGATGTTTCACTTTCATATGGACTTTTTAGCCACTGTCTCCTAACTCTCATCAAATATTACATGGGACTATGGCGTTGTGGGATAATCAGCAGGGTAACCACAAGGTCAGTAGTTCAAACTGCCTAGCCACTCTATGTTGGAAGATGTGAGTATCTGCTCCGATAAAGATTTACAAGGTCTTAGAAACCCACCTTATGGTTGCTATGAGTCAGAACTGACTGTAGTTCTACTTTGTTTTATAGGGTCACCGTCAGTCAGAATCTACTAGATGGCTATAGGCTGGCTGCTTGATGCAAATAAGATTATTGTGACCTACTGGGAGGGCAGGGGGGTTAGGCAGCTTGTTAACAATGCAAATAAGATGCATGGCACCCTTGTGGAGTAGGAAAATGCAAAAAAGGTGTATGGAACCCTGATGGGGTATTGGTCAGTTTTACCATCCAGCTAGGGTAAACAGGAGCAGACAGCGAGGCAGGAAGGAGATGCCTCACTACCACCAACACAGAGGAAGCTGGGAATGAAGTGCTTCCTCTGGGCTTGGGATCCCCTTGAGACCCCAAGACCTTTCTAGGCCCAGAAGAAGGGGAGGGAGAGAGATGGAAAGAGAAGGGGGGTAGGTATGGAAGGAAAGAGTCATTTATAAGTATGGGTTGCACACAGTGATTTCTTCCAAACAGTGCAATACTGAAAGGGAAAAATTTATAGTAAAGAAACCTATAAAACTACCTGAAGCCAGATGATAGCATAAACACCAGCAGTGACAAAATTACAATGACAGTATGAACCTTTAATATGATGGGATGACCACTGACTTTATTTCTTCCAATATCAAATTACCTCCCAGACTAACTATGTGAAAAACATCAGACAAAGCCCAATTAAGGGACCATCTACAGAACAGCTATATAAATTTACATGATCTACATAAATCCTCAAAACTATTCATCTCAAACAAAGTTAATTTGAATGCCCTTCGCAACCTAAAGGGGCCCAAGGAAACATGAATGACCAAATGTAATGTGGACTCCTAGAACAGGAACTGGGTGTTAGGGAAAAGCTAAGGATATCTGGGGGAAGTCTGTTGTCATTAGGTGCCAAAAGGTCCCATTTTGACTCATGGTGACCCCATGTGAGGAGTAGAACTGCCCCACAGGTTTTCAGGCTGTAATCCTTTTGAGAGAAAAGCCTTCAGGAGCTGAATTGACACCGTGGTTGCAACAATAGGTGTAAACACAGTAAAAATTTTGAGATAGGACAAGACTGGGGAATGTTTTGCTCCTTTGTACATAAGGTCACTGTGAGTCAGACAAGGACGCCCAACAACTAATAACAACAACATTCCTCACAGAGGCAGACTGCCGGATCATCCTCCCATACAGGTAGAGATGGCCGGGTGTGCCTGAACTGCCAACCTTTGGTTAACAATTGTGAGCTTATCATCATCAGGACTCCTTTGTATCATCATCAGGTCTCCTTTGAATAAAGCATGGACTTGAGTGGATAATAACTGGCTCATTAATTTTAACAAAGGTACCAAATTAATTTCAGATGCTAATAGGGAAAATTGTGCATGGGACAGAAACTCTGCACTGTCTTGACAATAATTCTATAAAACGAAAACTGCTCCATAATAAACAGATTTAATAAAGTTATTGAAGAAGAATCTACTAAGAGAGCTTCCAGATGTATTCCAATACAATTAAGAATCAATTTAATGAAAGTTTTGCCCTATCACTAACTTCTCCTTTGCTTGCAGTGTCCAGTCTCTTAAATGTTTAATCTGTACAAATCAACAATTCATGTACTTCAATCTAAAAAGTCAACCTATACATGTATAATTTCCTTTCTCAGCAGTATTTTAAAGTCTATACCATTCGCTAAATTAATGACACTATCAATAGAGTCATCTCAGGCCCCAAAGCAAAAGAGCTGCCATCAAGTCAATGCCTATATAGGACCCCCAAAAGGGTCACGACCCACAGGTTGAGAACCACTGATCTAGCAATAAATGTTTGCTTGTTACCAGGATAAAGTGGCCAAAGACATTGGTTTCAAACACCTCCTGTAGCCCATCAGCTGTGATCCTGTTTTGCTGGGTTAGCAGTCCCTCAGCTGTGGAAAACACATGAATCACTTTTCTGAAAGAGCAGAAGACAATGGTGTGACAATTTTTTAAGCTGCTTTGATGATACTGAAGAGACCACCCTCCCTGAAAGACATTACACATTCCTCAATTCTGTAATTCCAAGTCTAAAACATAGTCAATCCTCATTATTCCCAGACTCTGTATCTGCCTACATGCAGATATTTGCATACATGCTAAATTTATTTTGTAAACCCAAATCAAGATTTGGAGATATTTTCACAGCCATTCTCATGCATGCCTAAGAGTGGAGCAGCAACATTTTTGAGTCAACAATGTTTCCAGCTGAGGTCAAATACAGCTGGTTTGTTGTTGTTAGTTGGCTCATACTCTATGTTCAACAGAATGAAACACCGCCCAGTCCTGTGCCATCCTCACAATTTTTATGTTAGAGCCCATGATGCAGCCAGTGTCAATCCATCTTGCTGGAAAGTCTTCTTTTTCACTGCCCCACCACTTTACCAAGCATGATGTGCTTTTCCAGGGCTCCTGACAACACATTCAAAGTATGTGAGACAAGGCCTCATAATCCTGACCTCTGTCTTCCAAGATACATTTGTTTGTTCTTTTGGCAGCCCATGGTACTTTCAATATTCCTCACCAGCACCATAAATCCAATGCATTGATTCTTCTGTCTTCCTTATTCAATGTTCAACTTTCAAATGCACATGACCTTACTGGAAATCCTCTGGCTTGGGTCAAGTGCACCTTAGTCCTCAAAGTTACATCCTTCCTTCTCAACACTTTAAACAGGTCTTGTGCAGATTTACCCAGTGCAATGCATCTTTTGATCTCCTGATTGCTGCTTCCATGAGCATTGTGTATCCAAGCAAGATGAAATCATTGATAAAATTCAATCTTTTCCCCGTTTACCATCAAGTAACCTACTGGTTCAGTTGTGAGGATTTTGGTTTTCATCTTTGCTAATTCTGTGCCTACAGGGAATATAACTACCACTGGTGATAAAAACAGACTCGCTTCCCAGATTGAGTTATTGTGAACAATCCATAAGCTCTTTGTGCCTCATACAGTGCTTAAGACTTCATGGGTAATTCAAGAAATATTTTATTTCTTCTAGCTCACTGAAGGACTCTTTTCCCCAGCTCACACAATCAACAGAAGTGAGTCTCACAAAAATCTGCTCCTAAAACGCTCTTAGGTTCTTCCCAAATCAGCATTATTCTGACAAACAAAATAATAGCTATGCCAAGGAGGAAAAGTCTCCACCTCCGTAAACTGTTATTTAGTTGCTGAGCAGATATCTCTTATGAATGGGACATCTTGATGCATCGAACACACAAAATAATAGTCTGAGATTAACTAGGTAAGTTGACAAAAGGGTGTTCTTTTTGTCTTGCTTTAATGGAAGTGAAGTAAAGCCAAAGTAGCAGTACAGTAAGTAAAAACAAAAAGAACATTTATTTATGAGTATGTGTACTGGGATGTAAAATAGAATGTTTCTTACTGTGGGTGTGGTTGACATTTTTTTAAGGCATTCTTCTAATGTGTGGAGCACTGATCATGGTATGGGTTAAGTACTGGACTGCTAACAAGGTCTGCAGTTTAAACCCACCAGCCACTCTACAGGACAACGATGACACTATCTCCTCCCATAGATTTAGTCTTGGAAACCATAGTCAGAATGGACTCAATCTAATAGTTTTTACCTTATTTGTTTGTTTGTTGAATACAACAAACAAAATGAGAATCTTCCAGGCAGATATTTGCTGGTGTTGGGTGTCATAGCGCCAGCAGTCTGATTCATGCACCCCGAGTACAACAAAATGAAACACTGCCTGACCTGCAGCCTTTCTCAGAATGCTGTTATGTTTACGCTGATTGCTATAGTCACTGTCAGTCCATCTCATTGAATGGCTCCTTCACTGTTGCTGACTTTCTTTTTACCAAGAGTTATGTCCCTCTCCAGGGCCTAGTCTCTCCTGATAGCATGGGCAAAGTATGTGAGACAAAGTCTCATCATCCTCACTTCTTAGGAGCATCTGGATATATTTCTTCTAAAACATATGCATTAGTTTGTTCTTCTGGCACATGGTATGTTCAATATTCTGCACAACAACATAATTTAAATACAACAAATCTCCGGTCCTCTTATTCACTGGCCAGCTCCACAAGCATAAAAGGCAAGTGAAAATACCATCGCTTAAGTAATGCTGTGGTGATGTGAGATTTCTTAATGTGGCTCTTCTTTCTATCCATGTCTCTGTAGAGCTAGGTAAGACTTTGCAGAAAGAGGTGTGTAACACTAATAGAGAGGATTGATCAATTTTAGTTAAGACTCTAGGCCAAAAGGATACGCCATCTCTGAAGCACACGCAGAAAGAGGAACTCTAGGACCATTGTAAGTAGAGCACATTGGAGATCCCCAGCTGAAGTGATGGAAGCTAAGACAGAGGCACCAGAGACTGTGGTGCAAAGATTAATGAGACACAGCAAAGGACTGGGAGGCAGCTTCTTGGTTTACGGAGACAGAGGCCATGGGACCACATGCCTGAGAAACTAAAGACCAGAGACTTGGGTGTTGGCTGAAGAGCGGTATGGCCCATAGACTGCTATCCTTACTGTTTACTGGTCCTGACTTGTGGTAACTTCCCTAATAAAACCACACAGTTGGGAGTATTATTTGCAAGTTCTGTGTGGCCATTGCCATGAATGATCAAACCTAGCACTGAAGCAGAGTGCCATGGGAGGGATAGTTTGTGTTAGAATAGGGTCAAAAAGGATGGAGTAGAGCCACGTCTGACTTCTGCCTCATGGCAATAAGGAAGCCAGAGGTCAGCTATGATCACCTCCACGCTGTTTCCACAGGGGAACCTTAACACTTCAAGAGTTCTTGTTCAGTAAACATGCCCAATGAACTATCATTTGATCTGACTACTATTTCCATGAGTGTAGATTATGGATCCAAGTAAAATGAAATCCATGCCAACAACTGGATTTTCTCCATTTGTTGTCATGTTATGATATTTAGTTCTCTGCATTTCCCCATCCTAATGGTTGTCAGAGCCTGACATACAATTGGGAATTGACGTCTTAAGTAAACTTGGGTATTTGGCTTTCACTGAGAACCCTGTACTAATTCTAAAGGGCTCTTGCTGCTAATGGACACATTGAGGGAGGCCAAAAACTGACCTTCTGAAAAATCCAATCACTTGGAATGTCTCAGAAATGACTAACATCCTAAAAGTGATGACCTGCAGCAATGTCCACAAAAGATGCTTTTGTTCATGACATGGCAGCAGTGCCTCCTGCAGTAGTTTCATAATTTCATGTCAACTTGTAGATATATAAAAGCATAGGGGTAGTATTCAACCTGTCAGTCAGGTCACAGCCTGATGGTGCCTCCTGGTGGGAGTGGCCTTGTCATAAGGTCCCAGGGAACCTCTCGGTTCCTTGACATTCCTTTCCGGCCCAGAAAGTTCCCACCGACCTCGGATCCACATGACTGTGCATCCACTGGTCTGTGATCTTCCTGCATTCTGCACATTGCATGTGACTGTGTGAGTCTGAAGAGGGACTTATGGACTAGTATTGGACTTATGGACTTGAGTTGGACTGGGCTGGGATGCTTTCTTGATAAACAAGGAGGTACCAGAAAAATGGAATTGTTTTTTCAAAGCTATGTATTTAATTTTTCTTTTTTTTAACAAAACCACCTTATCCTCTTCAAAGTACCCTCCATTACACTTAATACATTTGTCAAAACTGAGATTCTATTATTGGAAACATTTTTCAAACTCATCTGTTTGCATGGCTGACAGCACCTCCTGTGGGGAACAGAAGGATTTCTCTCAAGCTGTCTCCCCGAAAAATATGTACCAGACTTAGCTGCTTGAGAATGACTGTACACTAGGCGGTCAGCGAAAGTAGGTCAGAGGTTATTCTCCTTAACATCAGCCATCTAGAGCAACCAGACGGTATAGTCTGATTCACCCTAAGTAGGGCCCAGTCCCTTCTGCTATTGTTCCCTTGAAGCAGTGCCCAAAGGCAAGCCTGGGACCACTCTAAGATGACTAAGTTTATCGAGTCCAGGATCTACCCATCTTGCCACAAATGCTCCATTCCCTCTCTTTACTATTGTTTTCACCCCTTGGTCATCCCCCTCCTATTGATTGTACTGCCTATGTTGCTACCCCTCCCTATGACATAGGTTGTTATCTGCTATCAGGGGGCTTGCATGCCTCCCAGGATAGTAATTGTCTGTTTTATTGTATGAGACACCAGAGTGATCAAACCTGCCCAAGGATGAATTGTACTGCCCCTTTCTGTGATGTGTGATTCTATAATCAGATCCCCCTAAAGTGATATGATGTGTGGTTAGCAATAAATAAGGAGGCTCCCTGGTTCTCAGGAGGACGAGGGCGGCTGCTCCTGTGAGGGTGGCGGCTCCTGCTCTGGCAGCCAGGTTCCCCTCATGAGGACCACCAAGCGGGTCGGAAGTGAGCAAAGCTATCATGTAATGTGTCTGACTGTATTATTGTAATATCTCTCATGCTCTCGATGACTTTAATATAATGCTTATATATCTCAACCATACAATTGTGCATTACTGAACCCGTGAGTAGTAGTAGTAGTGGTGGGGGCTGGCCCCTCACTCCCAACTCATTTAATACTACACACTTCCCTCATATTTTTCTTCACCTCTTTTAAGTTGTCAAATCACTGTCCTTTCATGTCCCTCTTCATTCGTGGAAACAAAAAGAAGTCACAGGGAGCGAGGTCAGGTGAATGGGGCAAGAGAGACATGCTGTTTTTTGCCAAAAACTGGCACACTGAGATGGCTGCATGAGCAGGTGCATTGTTGTAGTGGCAAAACCAGTCCCCATATGCCACAAATCAGACCTTTTTTGTTGCACACTGTTATGCAATCTTTTCAGAACCTCTAAATAGAAAGCTTGATCAATCGTTTGACCTGATGGAATGAACTCCAAATGCACTGAGTTGACATTTTCATCCTTCATGAAATTGATGGATGTCCAGACCATGGTTTGTCATCAATCGACATTTTACCTTTTTTGAAATGAGAAAACCACTCATACACTTGAGCTTTTCCCATAGTGATGCTCTTGTAAGCTGTGTTCAACATCACAACAGTTTCTGAGGCATTTTACCTGAGCAGGAAACAAAATTTCACAGCCGCACACTGTTCTCTTAAATCGGCCATCACAAAAAATTCACTATGACCAGAGAGAACCTTCCCAGGCACTGGGTACACTAACTCAGAGAAAAGTGCTCAATATTCACCTAGCAGGAAAAATGTGTACTATGAAAGCTCTGCTCAGCAGAGCTTTTTTCCACTTTTGGGGGGCAGCCCCTCATATAATTACTTCTTGATATAAAGCCCCTTCTTACACCTATATGCATGTCACTGGATTTGTTTCTCTAGTCCAGCCGGTCTAACACACCATCTTTCTATGTCTTCGTCCTTCTCAATTGCCTCACCTTTCATCCTCCGAACTCAATAGACTGAGGGCAAAACAGCAAAAATATCATAGACCTTCTGTCCAATCAATTCATCTAAAAAATATGGCAGTTACCTTGAAAAGAGGCACGATAAAAGTGCTTTAATATTCAGCTGAGGATTAGGCATGATTCCAGCATTTAGATACACATAGTCTAATCTCTGAAATCTGCAAGGAAAACATCAAGACAACATTATGAGCATTTTTAAAATGAGGAATAAAGAGGATCTGAAAGGACATAAAATAATTTCTCAGCCAAAAAGACATACCACAGCAAGATAAAGGATATATAAAACATCGCTTTCTCAACAGTTTTTGATTATTCAAGATAAATATGGGAGAATTCATTTTTGGGGGGTAGCTTCAAACAATTTAGGGTGCCATGACAATGGGTTCTAAAGTCAAGTCTTCACTGGTCAATACTCCCTCTAGTTCTGTCCTTTATATCAGGAATTACAACTCTCGACTGAACCCGCTCTCTTGATCTTGTGTGTTTGGGTAATATGGCATTCATCTGGTCTTACCTCTTAATGCTGGAACCTGAATGCCAGTGAGCTATTAAAGCACAAGATCTACATGGAAACCCTCCATGCTCAAGAGAGGGGCCATGTACCATAAAATGACAAAAACCCACAAGCAAGCATGAGACCCAAATGCTAGGTAAGGTCAGGTCCTCTTTGGTAGGTCTCCTTCCAGGCAGTTACCATGAGGGGTAACTGTGAACTGCTGACCTGTATTTTTTCATTTTTAAACCCATATAAGCCTTATTTTGAACTAGGTTCAAGATAGAAAAAGATATATTATCATGATACCCTTAGACACCATGATTATTCACAATAACTCAGAATTTTATGTACCACTGGTCTCTATGTCTGCTATTTCACCTAGGGCAGTGATTCGCACCCTTCCTAATGCCACGACCCTTTAATACAGTGCCTCATGTTGTGGTGACCCCCCAACCATAACATTATTTTTGTTGTTATTTTCTAACTGTAATTTTGCTACTGTTATGAATCAGGTGACCCTGTGAAAGGGTCGTTCGACCCCCAAAGGGGTCATGTGACCCACAGGTTGAGAACTGCTGACCTAGGGCAATAGGGACAATAGTGACAATAACTATTAATCTGGGACCCTGAAATACATGCACAGTTACTAATACGTATCACATACACACATTTCTTGATCACCCTATATATAATTTACAACCAGATGGCTCTAATTAGGAAGCACAGTGCTTAAAATACTGACATTGATATCATCAGGTTGTGTATGTCAGTGCCACAGATACTGTGGGTCTACTCATGGTTGGTTGTTCCACTTATCGATTTCAGAACCTTTCACTTAAGAATATGAACACACTTTGCAGGGAATGGAGAGGAAGTGCTTAGCAAAGTGTGGAAATCATAACAGAACACCAAATTAAGGTCCAGCTTCAGTAAAACACCCTACTTTCAAAAACTAAAGGGTTGACCCAAATGCTCTTTTTTGGATAAAACAGAAGTACAGCTTAGTAGTTTTCATTTGCACATGTCTAACACAACTGAAGGCGCCCTGGTGGCACAGTGGATCAAAGTCAAGCACTCAGCTGCTAACCAAAATGTTCGCAGTTCGAACCTCCCAACAACTCTGTAGGAGAAAGATGTGGCAGTCTCCTTCCATAAAGATTGATGTCCTAGAAAACCCTACGGGGCAGTTCTACTCTGTAGGTTAAAAGAACTGAGAGAAATCTCTGGGTGGTATAAATGGTTAATGCGCTCAGGTGATAATCAAAGTTTGGCAAGATTTGAATTTACCCAGAGATGCCTCAATAAAAAGACCTGGCCGGTCTACCTCTGAAGAGGCAACCTCTGAAAGCCCTATGAAGCACAATTCTACTTTGACACACAGGGAGGCACCATGAGTCAAAGTTGATTCTGTGACAGTTGGGTTTTGTTCAACTTTTTACTAGAACAGAGTACTCTAGATAGAAAGCCTATCTATCTGGACGAGCCCACTGGAAGCTCTCTCCCAGCCCTCATTTCCTTCTCAGACTAGAGCTATCCATTTAGGCTACTCACTACAGCAGATCCCTGATACAAGCAATGGATGTATCTAGACCGTCACATAGACAAAATTTGTGATGATCATTAGAGCCATTGTTGTCTGAATTTGAGTAATCTCGCTCACCTCAATGAGAGCCATTTTAAGGATTAAATAAAAACATCAATGCTTCCCTAAAATATTAAAGATGGGCAGCTGGGACAAATCAAAATCTGTCTCCCTTCTATTCACCAGCCTCATTGGCTTAAATCTATGCTACATACAAATGCTAAATTCTTTTATCAAACCTTGGAGAGGTTTGAAATGTATTGGAATGGGTTATTATTAACTGAGACTAAAACTTCTTTTCTTTCAATAACAAAATCTAAACAAGGTAACCCCAGCTAGCTAACTAACATCAAGGGAACGAGCATCTGTAAATGTGACCTGAAATACCTATCACTATGGTTCTTAACTCAGGCATGACATTTTCTGAGCAGTGCCACAGGCTGGAAACTGCCACTGATGGTGGAAGAGGGAATGTGGAACACAGTATGGTTTATGTCAGTGTTTCCCTGCGTGGTTGGTTCCACCACCTGAGGGGCACTGGAACAATCCAGGGGGGCTGCAAAAGCAGACACCTATACTTTATCTTGGATTATGGGATATAATACCAACGGTTTTAATTCCCAGGGGGCAGTAATTTTTTTTTCTAAAAATAGGGGGTCAAATAAGTTTGGATACCAATGATTTATGTGAAACTGGAACCTAGAAAACTCTGGGTCTTTTCTAGGTCTTTTAGGAAGGATGGTTTGGCAGAAACCTCTCAGAGCTCAGCAGCAGAGGGTGAAGCCACATACCCATAGGGCTAAGGCTGCAGCAAGAGGAGCTTGGGTGAAAACAGCCAATCTTCACCTTTGCTTTGCAATTTGTGTATTTGGAGCAAGGAAATGTAAGTGATTGTATCTGTTAATAAATGTACACAGACTGTTCTGTAGAAAATGCCTTTAGCAAGACACAAGATCTTACTAGTTTCTGCTTCATTTTACTCTCCAGGGAAATAAAGTAGTTCTTCTTCTTTAAGGACCCTAATGACAAGAATGCTTGAGCATTTACTATTCCAGAGAGTCCCAGGGCTCAGCATGGACAGTGCTGGGTTTTTCACTTTTTAGGATCACAAATTCCTCTGAGAGTTTAAAACAAACATGTCTTCTTTCACCAGAAAACTGTTCTGAACATCTATATGCAATTCTGCGTACTTTTGTTGTTGGGGGGGGGGGGGGCGACTAATATATCCGACAATTCCATTCTTTCTTTCATACATTAAATATTTATCAAATGTCCATAACATGACAATCACTGTGGGATGTGAATAAATTTTCATTGCCCTCCAGAAAAATCTCTGAGGATGCAGGGAATGGAGCTGGGCTCCAGGAATAACCCAATCAAAACAAAACCAGATGGACTTCTTAAACAAGTCTATCTCTCTCTCTCCCTCCTCCTCACTTTCTTCACTTGTCAGTTCCTAACAAGCAGACTTAATGAAGTTGTTAGAGGCAAGGTGTTCAAATAAGCGTGCACTTATAAACACTAGAGAAATCTGAGAATAACAAGCATGTGGTACTGAGAAGGAATGGGCTCTCCCTGTACAGATGTCTCAGGGTTACTTCTTACACTGTGCCTGCCTATTCCTTTTTAGGATTTCCTGACCTTTATTTTATTATGTTACACAGTGACCTGAGAGAAAACCCACCGAGAGGCATACCTTTGCTTGAGTTCCCTGGCGGCCCGAAACACCGACTGCAGGCTGCTCACATCCACCTGCACAATGCTGACCTCGGCTGTGGGCTGAGCGGCCAGCAGGTCGGCTCGGACGGCTTCGGCCTTGCCCATGTTCCTGCACGCCAAACACAGGTGAAGCTCATCGTTGTTGGCCAGTAGCCGCTTGCAGAGGGCTAGGCCGATGCCACTGGAAAGGACAATTCAGACACAGGACTTGCCTTCATTAGGATGATGCCAAATAGAAGCACTTATATTTGGTTTTGAAAACACTTTTAGTCCCAATCGGAAATTCAGGCAGATAGAAAAGACTCAAAAAGTATGTAAGGGGGAGGAGGAGCCCTACACTCTACTAATCACTCACTCTGGACACAAATCACTTTGTGTTTCTCCCATTCCGTAAAACCTCAGTGCCACAATAACTCCTCAAGAAGCTGCCTCCAACATGGATATACATAAATCTTAGATGAACAGATTTTAGTTTCTCCTTAATCATAAGCCCTAATTTAAGAACAATTAGTTCTTATGACTTGGGCCTGGCTCAGTATTTTCCATCATTAAGAGAACACTGGAGACACAGGTACTAGAGCAAGGTGTGGAGAAGGAAGTAGATGGTGCCTAGTTATCAAAAAGAGTCTGGGTTCTCAAAAGGCTTGCAACCATCTAAGTCAGTGGTTCCCAACCTTCCTAATGCCATGACGCTTTAATACAGTTCCTCATGTTGTGGTGACCCCCAACCATAAAATTATTTTTGTGCTACTTCATAACTTTAATGTTGCTACTGTTATGAATCGGGTGACCCCTGTGAAAGAGTTGTTCAACCCCCAAGAGGTCACAACCCACAGGTTGAGAACTGCTGATCTAAGTGAAGTAGCCACAAGGAAGGAACATACTACTCGTGTGAGCCAAGGATTGTAAATAATAAAATCTAAGATCAGAGGAGGCAAATGTATTAGAGCTTAAATAAGGCAAGGAGTTTTCACCTATTGGTATCATGGACACAAATGGGAACATAAAAATCCCTTCACTGAAAATAGTATATTAAAATCTCCTACTATTACTGTAGAATAGCTAGAAAGAAGCTCAACAAATACACAAAATAACTAAAGAACACAATCAACCAACTTGACCTCATAGACATAAAGAGAACACTCCACCCAGCAAGACAGCATACATTCTTTCCCAGCACCATGGAACATCTTTAAGAATAGACCATATGCTAGGCCACAAAATAAGCAACAATATAAGAGTGTGCATGGATCTGTTTGGTGTCCATATAGCATAGTTGAGGGTGGGCTTGCATGGTGTTGGCTGCTATCTATGGATTACTAGGTGATACAAGAGTGGGTAGTGGCCCTTGCACAGTAAGTAGGGTTGCAGGTGATACAGGTGTGGCTGGGTTGTGGGTACAATGGCTGTCTCGCAGGCAATGAGGAGAGAAAAAAAAAAGGAACAGCCAAAATATAAAGTAATAATAGATCAAGCAGGGAAAAGTAGACAACAGAATGAAAAAATAATGTAATGACTAAAAAGGAAAGAGAAAAAAAATTAAACACATTAAGCAAAACTAGAGAGGGGACAGGAAACAAACTAATAAGAAATAAAACGATAAGAAAAGAAAAAAAGAAAGATTAAAAAAAGAATTGATGTATTTCAATTATGGTATTGGGTGAGTAGAGTGAAACTACCAAAAGCTACCAGAAGAAGAGCAAGCCATCTTTCTTGGAAGAAGGAATAACCAGAAGACTCCTTAGAAAGGAGGATGGTGAGACTGAGTCTCATGTACTTAGGACATGTTGTTAGGAAAGACTAGTCTCTGGAAAATGACATCAAGCTTGGTAAAGTAGGTCAGCAAAAAAGGGAAGACCTTCAAGAAGGATTGACAAGATGGCTGCAACAATAGGCACACCATGACAATAACTGTGAGGATGACACAGGAGTGGCCAGTATTTCATTCTGTTGTGCATAGGGTCGCTACAGTCAGAACTGACAGGAGGGCACCTAACAGCAACAGTATCATGCTTAACCAGATGAAGGAGAGGATGCAACCTTCTGTTCTCATAAAGACTTCGTCTCAGAAATGACCAGAGCAGTTCTGCTCTGTCCTATAGGGTCTCTGTGAGTCGAAATCCACTCTTTCAGTATGAACAAATGAGGTGAGGTTCCTTTTCCTACTCGGATAGTCAATAATTTTACAATTATTAATATCAAAGAAAGACACTGATTTTTTTTTTAACCAGATTTGATACACTACTAAATAGCATGAAGATACAGTTTCATTTGTATCTTGTGGCTAATTCTATTACCTGGGGATCAAAGAGAGAAAATAGGATTGGATAGAATAAATTCCCCTTCTCTTTTCAACCCAGTAAAGTGCATTTGAATGATACATAATGAGAAATTTAGGAAAAAGTAATAAATTTCATGGAAGTTAAGACAAATGTGTTATCTAAATATTCATGCTTGATAAGAACACTCCCTGAAAGCGCTCCCGTTTATAATAGTCCTTATGGAACAGAAATGTTGTTAAACTTGTTTCAAGCTTTGAGCAGATGTGGATAAAGGCAACGTGTTACCCATTACCAGAGTCTGAAATATCATAGAGCTGTGCTATTTCGCAATAGTCAGCCAAAATTCATATTGGATGACTCACTAGAAGTTTAAAAAATAAAAATGAATAAAATATGCATAAAGAAAAAAAGAGAGAGAAATCAGGTGGGAGAAGGAAAGCAAAGAAGAAAAATATTAAACAAAAGAGGGGAAAAAAAAAAACCTAGAAAGGAGAGTGCTGAGGCAAGAACAGGAGTCAAAGTGGCAAAAACTGGAGAGCAGGGAACGTGATATGGGTTGGCATCTCTGCCAGCCAAGGGGCTCACAGAGTAGAAAGAAGGTTTGAGGAAGAGGGGAACCCAGTTTTAGATGCAGTTGCTGTCTGTCTAGCTGATATCTACTGTTTCCCCAAAAGTAAGACATCCTCCGAAAATAAGACCTACTTACAGTGTTGCCTCTCCCGAAATATAAGGCACCCCCCGAAAATAAGACCTCCCAGAACATAAGGCCTCCCCGATAATAAGGCCCCCCGAAGCTACCGTGACTCTGGACCGTAGCGGCGGGTGTCGCCACGCAGCTCACTGTTGGCTGCAGTGCAGCCGGAGCAGACAGAAAGTGTGAGTAAATGTACCATAAATTATGAGTAAATATACCATAGATTGTTGTACATGGAAATAATGGTAGTAACAAGAAATTCTTGATACTGTAGGATTCACAGTTTGTCTGGTTATGCTGGTTTGTGATGACAACTACTACCGTACCGTATACAAGTAATAAATTTCCTTTTTGTTGTTCAACAATAAATGTGTACTGTATTCTTCTTCATGGAAAAATAAGATATCCCCTGAAAATAAGACCTAGCCCATCTTTGGGAGCAAAAACTAATATAAGACACTGTCTTATTTGGGGGGAAATAGGGTAAGATTACGGAACTGATTAGTAGTTCATTTAGCCTCAGACAGTCACTGAAGTCAAAGTGCTTGAAAAAGAACACTTTGGAGCCCTGAGTGAGTGATTAAGAAAGGAGTTCTTGGCCCAGGTTGTCTAGAGAAACAAATCCAGGGCACTCATATTTATTGAAAGAGCTTTATACCAAAGAGCAAGTGTGTATTGAGAAAACAGCCTAGCCCAGTCAAGATCAAGCCCCTAAGTCCGATATAGCCCCTATGTCCAAAACCAGTCTATAAATTCCTCTTCAGACTCATGCGACACATGCAATGATGCTGAAAGCAGGAAGATCATAGGCTGGTGGGTGAAAAGTCATGTAGATCCAGTGGCAGTGGAATACAGAGTTGGCACTGGTCTCCAGGTAGCAAAATATGTCTTGTCAACAGGAAGGTGAAGCAGAGAGAGAGAGAGTGTGTGGCCCACCTCCAGGTAGAAAAGAGTGAGAGGAAGTTCCCAGAATCCTCATGAGAAGGCCACAGCCAAAATGAGACATCATCAGGCTGTGACCTGGTTGACAGGCCAGACTCCAACCCTACACTTACCTATCAAGTAGAAATGAAATTGTGCAACTACCACACCCACCCAGGATGGCTACTGAGAGATGGCTTGTTTCCACGGAGTGCTTTCTGCTGCTCTGATGAGACAGAGTTCATGGCACCTCCAGACACAGGTGGTGCACCAGGAGTCTGACCCACAGCGAATGAATCCAACCACCGGCTGTGAGGGGATTGTAACAATGAGTAGGTAAGGGTGGGTGCTGGCCTCTTTTCCAGTCACCAGAAGGGTGTGGGGAACAAGGGGAGCTCCTACCTTTCTCATTATCCATCACCAACATGGACACTTGTGGTGCTGAGCAAATGTTGCTGATTACCTGAGAGCTATTCCAATTAAAAACTGCTTGCAAAAGTTTAGCTAAACCAATCAAACAGTTCAACCACCTGTCTCCTCTCTGGAGCTTTTATTCAGCTTCTTCTCCTAGCTGGTATTCAATTTACTTCTCTATCCTTTCCTCTAAAGCTCAGAGTTTCAGGATTACTATCCCTGAATATCCCATCTGTCTCATTTGGTTTCTTCAGCCTATGTTGTGGAGGGTCTGTGTAGCATGTCTGCCTCGGTCAGTCCTCTAGGCCTCAGATCTCCATCATCTTTTAATTCCATTTTTTTCCATGAACTTTTGAAGTCCTCTCATAGACCCAAGAGAGCTGAGTATGTGTCTACCAAAAGGTCTGTATAAGAAGTATCACAAGCCCTCTATTATTTTTAAACAATTTTATTGACACATAATTCATATACCATACAATTCAACAGTTTAAATATATTTTAAAGAGTTGTGCAGTCATCACCACGGCCCACTTTACACCATTTTCTTCATTCCTTTATGCATTATTATCAGTTCCCCATTACTTCCCCAACTTTCCTGCCTGGATTTCATATAAAGAAAATTATACAAAAATCCTCAACAATGACAACAAAACAGAACACAGAGAAAGCAAAAGAAAATAGAAACTAAAACAAATTAAAACTAGGTCAGAAGAAAAACAAATGCTAAGAAGTTAAATTTTAACTTCATTATATCAGCTGTAATTAACTTTCAAATGCACTCTGTGGGCAAGACTATTCACATCCCTGGTCATCAGTCTGAGGGAATTCAGTAAAGCTTAATCTCCATGGGGGCTGTGCAAATGGATTTTGGACTTTTGCTTCCTTTTGCAAACTGGGTGCTCAAAATTTAAGCTCTAATTTCCTCCTCTGATCTTGGATTTTATTATTTACAATTCTTGGATCACACATACTGGTATGTTCCTTCTACGCAGACTTAGCTGCCACCTCACCTAGATGGCTGCTTGTTTGAAGACAAGCCTTTAAGAGCCCAGATGCTATTCTTTCTGATAGCTGGACACCATCTGCTTTCTTCACACTTTGCTATAGCAAACATTTCTTCAGTGGTCACTTAATGAAGCCAAGGCAAGGCAACATTTTAAGAACTGATTGCTCTTAAATTTGGTTTACGATTAAATGTGAGCTCAAAATTCATCCGTATTATCTAAAGTTTACATATACCCCTGAGGACCTATATTCTGATAGCTACGAACTGTATATTATCCAAATTCCCACCCATAGTAAAGAATGTATAAAAAAATTTTTCATACCCTGTTTATACAACAGTAAGAAAGAATGATTTACAACTTCATGCAACAATGTAGATGAACATGTCAGGAACAAAGCACTGAGTGAAAGAAGCCCGACACAAAAGAGTGTATATGCTATATATGAAGGGGCTTCTAAACATTCATGGAAAAAAATCCATTATCTTTTAAGTTTATTTTTCCATGAATTTTTTTAAGTGTGACACACACACACACACACACATCACCCTCCAATCGTATAGAAATAGTTAGAGCTGAAGAAGCCGGGCCTTTTGAAAGGCCACAGCCCTGAAACCCTATGTAGTCCTACTGTGCCTACATGGGGGTTTCCATAAGTCAAAATCGACTTCCCTGACAACTAACCACAGACCATGGTAAGTGGACCAGTTTTAAATTACTTTTAACATTTCTTCTGTCTTATCTCCTCAAAAACTCCCAATGAAACAAGTAGGAAAAAATGGTTTGGTAAGTTTCCTCCTCCACACATTGTTCACGGGCACACAAATGAAGCCATGGAACAGTCCAAAGATAAAGCTCAGTATCCAAATAATCCACCGGGGAAATGGATGATCTGGCAATGAGCAGGCTGCAACACCTTACCAGGAAAAGTGACTTTTTTCTGTGTTTCTGAAGAGTAGAAGTTAGGTGTCTAGCATGGTGCTAAACTCAATGAGATACAATTTTCTCTCCCCATCCTTCGTTTTAATGTTCAAGGAGCCTGAAGTATGACGAGGGGCGAGTACCACCAGCGCAGATTAAACACCTGGAGCTCAAGGCAAAAGCCTAAGGGTCTGGACAGAGGGCCTTAAAAAGGTAGCGGGGGTCAAAGGGGGCCGGGTCTGCTTAGCAGACTCCCTTTCTTTGCCCTGAAAACCAAAGGTCTCGGTCAAAGGCGCGTCCTTCCTGGCCGTCTAGTTTTCCTTTCCACTGTCGTGTTTAATTCAAAGCATCAGTCACCAAGCACCTCAAGCCCCGTATCTCGAGCAACGGGTCCGCAAAGAAGCGCGGGTCTGGAGCGCAATCCGAGTCGCTATGGAGGCAAGCTCCGGAGCCGGTGCTCCCGGGGCCGGTGCGGGGCGGGTCACCTGTCCCGGAAGCCCACCTCGGTAGGACCCCTGAGCCACCGCCGCCTCCACGGTCGCGAGGGAGGACTCACCTGCTCGCTCCGGTGACCAGAACCACCTTCCGCATTGCAAGACTCTCACTCAGATCACTAAAGCTAAAGCCAACCTCCGTTTTCCGAAGTCTTAAAAGTCCAGCTTCCGGCCCGAGCCGCACGGGTGCACGCTGCGCTCCAATCCCGAGCTAGTCAGGCCCCCATCACTTCTCGCTTCCCTCACGTCACGCCACGCTACGCCACGCACCCAAGCGCGACCGCCGCCCACTGGCTGGTGGGCCGAGGGGCGGAGCCGCCTGACGCAGCGGCCCAGCCAATCCCGGCTTCCCTCAGACCCCGCCCCCCGCGCCTGCGTCTCACCCGAGCCTCTGGTGGGCGTGTTCTGAGCGCGCTGCGGCCGCTTCAAGTCTGTGGGTCGCACCTGCGCTAAGCCCAGGCGTCTCTGCGTGGCGCGTCTTTGCTGGAAAGCTAATGAGTTTTTAACCCCTTACTTATTTTCAGAGGGAAGACTAACGTTTAGGAACTAAAATGTTGCGATTGTTTATCTATTGTTTTCCCTCTTTTTCAGATGGTTTACCTCCTCTAAAGAACTGTAGAAATAATGAAGCATACATGCTTCATTTGACCACTTTTCTAACCTTAGAAAACAGTGTGAATCCTGGACTGCGACCCTCTGCAGTTCTTCTCAAACTCTGAGATAAATGACTCATTTTGTTTTCCAACCCATCCCAGATAGGCACTGTATTTTTGGAAAATGCGGTAAAAATTAATCACAAGAAAAATCGAACACGCACGCAAACCCTAATTTTTATTATGAAACTCAACACATCATTACTCTCAAACTTATAAAAATGTCTAACGTTTACTATAGGCTTCCATACTTAACCATGCCTGTTAACTGTCCATCACCAATCTTGTTCCACCCTGTATGAGTAACATTACACATCAAACGAGAAACTACTGAAAACACTTTAATCTATTTCATGACCTTTCAATGTTTTGATTATTTATGAACAGCAATGACCCCTGAAAGTTAGGAGACTGAGTTAATCTGAAGTTTGAATATCCTAGAGGTTTTGATTTGTTTGATATCAGCAGGCTTAATAAGAATTGCCTTACACAAGAAAATTATAGTTATATAAATATTAAGAAATAATTATAATGACCTTTTGCTTTCTGTAAGGATAATGTTGATATCTTATCAGGTCTTCTGTGATTAGTCTTCAATGTGTCAAATCTGTTCTTGAGATGTTTTGAAATATAGGTGGGATACACTCAAGGTTGTATTTGGGCTCTTGTACACTTGTTTTAATTTTCTTCAGCTTTTACCTAAACTCACATATGAGCAATTGATGATCTGTTTCACAGATGGCCTTTAGTCTAGTTTTAACTGCTGGTATTGAGCCTCTCCATTGGGTCTGCCTACAGAGGTAGTCAATTTGATTTCTGACTTCTATCTGAAGAAGTCCATGTGTAAAATTGCCTTTTGTGTTGGTGAAAAAAGGTATTTGCTAGGAACGAGTTGCTAGCCTTGCAAAATTACATCATACAATCTCTGACTTCATTTCTGTCACCAACACCATACTTCCACACTACTGTTCTTTGCTTCCAACTTTAGCATTTCAATCGCCAAAAATGTATCAATGCGTCTTGATCAATTTCAGGTTAACTATGTTGGCAGAATTCTTCAACTTCATCACTAGCTTTGGTGGTTGGTGCATAAGTTTGAATAATTGTATTGATTGGATGGCCTTGATGGTGCATAGATACAATTCTATCATATGCAACATTCTACATCAAAATAGATCTTGATATGTTCTTTTTGACAATGAATGTAATGGTAGAGAGAGTCACTGAGTTATACTGGTGACTGGGGTGCTTGGGGACACTGTGTAACCTGGAACACTGGGTCGATGGCCATATGTTTTCCCACACTCTGAGATGCCCTCTGGACACTGAGAACACAGCTGCATTTGTTATTATCAGTCCCAAGGAATTGTTTGTGCTTAGAGCAATTTTATCACGATGTTATTGTTACACTATGGGCGCTATGCACCCTGGCCTCATTACATATAAAGCTGTGCTTGGAAATAATATTTGCCTTTGGCTCATCAGTCCACCGCCCACTCTTTTTCTTCAGGTCATCGCTTGCAGCAGGTCCAGACCGCTGGACGGTAAGATGTCATTCTTCTTGACTGTCTCATCCCTAGCATAGTAAACCTGCATGATATTCTGATTCACAGTGGCCAATCCCAGTACATTTCCATTCACAATGCTCAGATTGGTGATTTTTTTTTTAATCCTTTTTTTGGGAGCTCATACAACTCTTATCACTATCCATACATCCATCCATGTGTCAAGCACATTTGTATCTATGTTGCCATCATTTTCCAAATATTTTCTTTCTACTTGAGCCCTTGATATCAGCTCATTTCCCCTCCTCTCCCACCCTACCTCCCTCATGAACCTTTCATAATTTATAATGTTTTTTTCATGTCTTACACTGACTGCTGTCTCCCTTCCCCCACTTTTCTGTTGTTTGTTCCCCTGGGAAGGGGTTATATGTAGATCATTGTGATCGGTTCCTCCCTTTCTCCCCCAACCTTCCCCTTCCCCTCCTGGTGTCATTACTCTCAGTATTGGTCCTGAGGGGTTTATCTGTTCTGGATTCCCTGTGTTTCCAGCTCTTTTCTGTACCAGTGTACATCCCCTGGTCTAGACGGATTTGTAAGGTAGAATTGGGGTCATGACAGTGGGGGGAGGAAACATTAAAGAACTGGAGGAAAGTTGTATGTTTCATCAGTGTTATACTGCACCCTGACTGACTTATCCCTTCCTTGTGAATTTTCTGTAAGGGGATGTCCAATTGTCTATAGATGGGCTTTGTGTCTCCACTCTGCCCTCCCCCTCATTCACATTGATATGATTTTTTGTTCTAGGTCTTTGATGACTGATACCTGATCGCATTGACACCTCGTGATCAGACAGGCTGGTGTGTTTCTTCCATGTAGGTTTTGTTGCTTCTCAGCTAGATGGCCGATTGTTTATCTTCAAGCCTTTAAGACCCCAGATGCTCTATTTTTTGATAGCTGGGCACTATCAGCTTTCTGCACCACATTTGCTTATGCACCCATTTGTCTTCAGTGATTGTGTCGGGAAGGTATCACAGAATGCCTGGTTATTAGAACAAAGCGTTGAGAGAGTACTTGAATAGAGGCCCATGTCTGTCTGCTACCTCAATACTTAACATATAAATATATGTACTTAGATCTATTTCCCTATCATTATATATAATATATTTACATATGTACATGCTTGTATTTAGACTTCTATAAATGTCCTGTGCCTCCTAGTACTTTACTCTATTTCCATTTACTTTCCTTTTGTCCCACTATCATGCTCAGCCTTCATTTGGGTTTCAGTAATTCCTCTCAGTTACACTGCCCTTGATCAAGCCCCACCAGGAATCCTATGTCCTCCTCGACATAGATTTTGCATCATTGTTGTTCCCTTGTCCCTGGGTTTGTTGACATCCCATACCCTTTGACCCACCTTCCCCTCTCCTGTGTCCCTCCCTTGGTTCCGTTGTGTTATCCTCCGAATTTTTATCCCGCCTATCTTATCTGGACAGACATGCAGAGACAATAATAAGCACAAAAACAAGACAGAGAAAAACAAAACAACAAAAGAAAACAGAACAACAACCAAAAAGAAAACAAAGAAACAAAGTGACAAATAAAAAGAAAAGCCTATAAATAATTCCAGGTCTGTTTGTTGACCTTTAGGAGTGTTTTCCAGACTAGTCTGATGGGGTGCCATACCCTGGCCCCAAAGTCTAATTATGGTTTTTCCCTGGGGACTTCATTGCTTTGATCCCCTTGTTGCTCTGTTGAATGCCCTCAGCATTTTGCCCCGGTGTGGTGGGGTCAAATCAGGCACAATTTCTGCACTGTGCCTCCAGTATTGCTATGGATCAGTGCTATGGGTCAGTGAGGGATGTCGTGTCTCATGGTGTGACCAGAACTATAGTCCTCTCTGTGCACTGGCTGTTCTGAGCAGGAATATCGTCCTCAGGGCTTGGTGGGCCAGGATATATTCCACTCTCTCTCCTTCCCTCTTCGTTTGCTCCTGTGTGCTCTGGTCAGGCGCCCCCCGCCCCCCTCCCTTAGCTGTAGCATCAGTGCTGTCCTCTGAAGTGCATTTCTCTGGGGTGGGGTGGGAGGTGTCCATGTAGTTGGGATGGGGGCTGGCCCTGCAGACCTCTCTATTGGTTCCCTGCTACATGTCGGTATGTTGCATTCAAGTCCTGGTGTGTCTTCTTCCTTCCTTCCTTCCTTCCTTCCTTTCTGTCTTTTCCCCTCCTTTTCAGTTGGCTGCCATATGTGTCCATGGATTGCATCTGGCCCCTGCCATAGTACCTGGACCTCACCCCAGGAATGTATGTGTATAGTAGCTTATAGTGATTTTATGCATTCCATTACATTGCTTCCAACTTCCAATTTTCCTAGATTCATACTTCATGCATTTCAGGTTCTGATTATTCATTTCTGTTTTCAGCTGTTTCTTTTCATTTTGAATCATGCCCCAAGAGCACGTGAAGCTCCCAAAGGCTTTGTTTCCACCCACTCTACTCTTTCGGAGTTATTCTTTTCCATTCTACTTTGAGACGGCAATTCTTCTTCAGTCATCGTTTGGGTGCCTGCTGACCACAGAGGCTGTTCCTCTGGCATTACTGTCAACAAGGTCCTGCTTCTTTTCATGAGGTTTTCAGTATCTGACCATGTTTTTTATTCTGTCCATATGGTGTCCTGAGGAAATTCCTTAGAAGTGGACAGTCTATTCCTTTTCCTAGTCTGGAAGCTCTGCTGAATCCTGCTCACTGTGGGTGACCTGCTGGTGTTTGAATGCTGATGATATAGCTTCTAGCACCATAGCACATATAAGCCACCACAGTACAAGTTGACAAACAGCACAGCAAACTGACGGCTGGCTTTCTAGATCGATATAGGGATTTGTCTTCAGTTTTGCTGATATGTCTTCCATTGATTTGACTTTACCCTGTCTTCCCTGTGTATTGTCTGTTTCTGATATTTTAGAATTAATGTTCTGGATTCTGTTTGCTATTTTTCTATGCTTTCTAGTTGTCTAATTGGTCAATTTGTTTTGTATCATCTTCCTGAA